AAAGAGTGAATATTTTTATGAAATACTATTTTACTTTGTAGGGAAAAAAATATTTTACTTTGTATTTTGTTATATAAGAATTTAAAAAATTCTTTCCTAAACCCATTTTGCTGCTTGTTATTTTGTGTGTGGTACTTTCTGTTACTATAATTTCTTTGTGTCTTGCTTCTTTCTGAAAAGGTTTTGAAAGTCAAGTTTGAATCAGGCAGAGTTTGTACCAATTTAGATATAACTCAGTTATTAAGTTATACATATTTTTATAGCTGTTTCCACTATAAGCAGGACTTCTAGATTTCCTTTTAGTAGGTCATTGAATCTTTTTTACTTTATGGAGCAGTAAGAAATGCATGAAGGAATTTGAATTTAGAGAGGCTGTCTTGCATGCATATATCTGGGCATTGGCATTTAGAGTCTATAAATTGGCAGTGAATGTTTTATTTACCTGTTAGAATCACAGCTAGATCATCAAGTAAAATTTTGCCAGATATATTGGAATACACTTGATGGCACAGAAATGAAAGTGTAAGGCATTTAATCAAAAATATTTGTGTGCAGATTGCACGAGAATTTTAATGTCTTATATGATAACCTGCATGTATAATTTAGAAACACAAATTATATGAGAAGTAAAGCTGGTCCACCGTCATGCCTTTTTATGAGCGAAATAATTCACTGTTACTGAAATTATTTTAGATGAGAAATTGTTATAATTCTTAGCTTGTCCACATTACCAAGCTCTTAGATAAAGCTGGCAGCGTGAATGACAGCCACACACCCAAGGTTAGACTGCAGCGTTGGTTTCTCCCTTTTTTAAGCCTCCCTTTCATGTGTAGCCAAGTGAAAGTCTCCAAGTGAAATGTAAGCTCTGTGGATCCTTGGGAGCCTTGGCCTGATGAGAGAATCCCAAAGAAAAGCAGCAGTTTGGAAAGGCTGCCGAAGGCACCGAGGGCAGAGGGCCAGGGTGACGATGACATGACTCACAGACCTTTCTAAGCAGATCAGTGAGAAGGCATCACCTCCCTGGGCTCTGGATGTATTTTTCCCAGAAGGGTAGTCCTGGGTTTTCAAATCAATTGTTTGGCTTTATCCTTCAGATGTTGCAGAAGGAAAATGTGTTCTTTTATTGCTCTTCCAAGTCTTTTAACCATTTATCCTTAATCATCTGCAGTCTGTGTGGGAATAAGTCTTCTAAAGATCACTGAACTTTGCTTGATTTGAAATCAGCGTAGAATTCGTTTTATTTAATGTGGGAAACCTTCTTTGGAGAAATTTGACACAAACTGGCTTTTTAGTGATTTAGAATTTAATCAAAAGAGAACACCATAGAAAAACACTGCCAGATGTACAAATGTCTGCTCGTGGGTTAGATTGCCATAAGCTTTGTGATTCTTTCTATGTGGTTACTGATCATTGAAATAACCGTAGCAGTCAACATTTAGCAAGTCAGTGTGAATTAATGAATTTTTGGTTGCATCACAGGGATGTAACCCTAGGCTAGCTGTAACGTATATCATCATCATAAGTTTTCTCCTTGCCACTTGTTCTATTAGAACTATTTGATGATCTTAGAAGCACCTAATAGATTTGCTTTGTGGAAAAGTTAATAAGCCCATTAGACCACTGGTGTGTGTGGAATGATCTACAAAGAAGTCAGTTCTCTTAGTTCCCATATCAGCATATTACAAAAGAACCATACTGTGGATTGTTTGGAATTTTACAGAGTTCTTCAAAGAGCAGTTCAGAATGGTTTCTCAGTGTGCTAACTCTGTGTCTTGGTGCATGGATTTGGCTGGCATGAATTTGGGCAGAGTGGGCCAAGTAGAGCTAAGTGAGGTGGGGAAAAATTGAGAGAACAGGCCACAACGGTGAATAGAGTTATTTGTCACTGAGTTTGTAATAGGATTTTCCATTAATTCATGCAGGCTTCCAGTGCCTTACATTAGCCCTGTCAGGATGAACTACTGCCACATCTAAAATGCCATCCCCCATTAAACGGTGCGTGTCAGTGAATTTGTAATTTCTTCTGTTCACCCAGAAGATGAATGGATTCCACTTAGAAAACAAATGTGTTTCAGAAATGCACATTTCAAAATCCTGAACATTTCCTAGGAGGAACATTCTTTGCATTGTTATACAGTGAATGTATATTAAAAATGTAATCGCTATGTGAATCTGTCTAAAAGGAAAGCATCCAGCTGCATAGAGACAAATACACTGTGAGGTGCCCCATTTCACTGGTGACCAGGCTTTTCATGCTGCTGCTGCTGCTGGTGGTATAGTTGTGTGTGTTGCCTTTATTGCCTTCTAAACCATTTGAGGGCATTTACCCACACAACAAAATCCACACAACAAACCAAATTAAGAAATGAAAACTCAGAGAGGTTAACCTGCCCAAGATCACACAACAGATGAGTGCGCTAAGATTCAGGCTGTGCTTCCAACCCGTTAACTATCCAGCCTGATCAATCTCATGAGCTACATTTTAGTAGTTGGCTTAGTTCTCTTGCCAGTTCTCTACCCCTCCCCTACAATAATACTTATTGTTGTGTTCATCTATTCCTATTTTCTCAAACTTATCTTGGAAATATTACTAAGCTGTTATAACCAGGACTCAAGAAATACATAATACAGAAGAGAATATAGCGAAGTAGATGTGGATGGACAATTAGAACTCTTCCTTCCACACAATTGGGCACCGAATGGGATAGGACCACAGCTCATGAAATGATGAAGGACCAGAATTCCTGGGTGGCATTTGCTTTCTGAAAGAACAGGGTACAGCAGGATTGCTTAGACAGTTATGTCAAAACTGAATAACAGGAGCTAATAGAGGCCAGGTCTTAAGGCAGGATCCAAAAGTTAGAGAGCTTAGAAGGACATCAGTAGTTCTGGGAGGCTCAACTCCTCTCTTCCGAGGATGTTGTCCTCTCCAAACAGCTCTAATTAACTAACCACAGCATCACATGAAGCAAGCCATGGCGTGTTGACTGCCAGTAGCATTTTGAGAGCAAGAATTACTATTTCTCTTAAGCGAAACAAAAATTAACAAAAAAGGTTTGGCTTATGAGTAGACCAAACTCTAAATCTTTGACTAGAAAACAAACTACTTACTGAAAATAATATTATGAAGTTCTGTTGCATTAAGGGTATAAAACTTCCATGCACTTTGGAGAGGGATGGAGAAGTAGTATGAGTTGTTCTACCTATTTGTTATTTTGTTTTGTTTTGTTGGTACTGGGGATCGAACTCGGGACTTTGCCCTCGCGAGACAGGCAGCAAATCCCTAGCCCTCTACCAGTTGATCTATTTTGCTGAAAAAATTAAACTTAAAAGAAAAATTCAACTGGCTTAGTCATGTGCCTTGCACATAACTGTCTGTCTACCTGCCTGCTTCATGTCTGTTTTCCGTTCTATTGCCAGACTCATCTGTCTGACTCATGCCCATCTCTGCTTCAAACCCAACATGGCACGGCAGTCTAAAGTCATGACCATGTCATTCAGGGCCCTTCATAAATTGGCCTCTGCCTGCTTCCCTTACACGTAATGTCCCTTAATTCTCACGCTGGAGCATTGCATTCTTTATAAACCCTATTCTTTCCACACCGTGTGCCAATTCTCACTTCCATGTCCTTGCTAATGCTGTCCCCTCTACCTAGAATGCTCTCACTTTTCTTTTTATTCATCCACTCCATCTTTGCTTGGCTAATGCTAATGTATCTTTTAAGACTTAGGGAAAGTATTTCCTTTTCCCGCTTCCAAACCTCGGAGTTCTCCCAGTGTGCATATTTATATCATTGCATTTACGACACTGTATCATCATTATTTCTAATGCCTTAATCCCTTAACAAAAAGAACTGTGCTTATTCCTTTTTAAACTCTCAGCACTAACACATTCCTTGGTTAAAAACAAGTAAAAGCTTATAAATGTTTTCTTGGATGAATGAATAATTGAATGAGGATAAGCTGGTAATCTCATTCAATGAATTATTGTAGACATGTTCGATTTTACCATATATCCTCTGAATCAGTGATAAGCAGCAGGGCTCAGAGAGGCCAGAGATATTAAAATGACAACTAATGCTCAGGAATGGGCACCTCCAATGCCACTGAGAAGTATCATTTTAATTCACTTTGATGATTAAAATGCTTTGGGGTGCACACAGTTTTAAAGCTATCATTTAAAAGTATAACGCAGTACATTAACATTTAAAATCTCAGGCTACCAGTGCTCTCTAACCAAGAAAGAGCAAGCGAAGTTGACTGATCTTAAACTAAAAGCTGTCTACATACTTACAGGTTATCAACTCTGAGAGGGCAGGGATGGTGACTGTTTCATTTACTCTTATGTTCCAGATTCTAGTATGGGGTAGACCCTCAAATACCTGTTGAGCTCATGAAAGAATAATATCTCCTACCCACTTTTAAGGCAGTATCAGGATTTTGGGTGGGGGGGTGGGTACTGGGGATTGAATTAAGACCTATGCTTGCCTGGCAGGCACGGCGCCACTGTGGTGAATTGAATCTCCAACCCTCAGGAAGGTATTAATCCAAAATCCAAACTTATTTTTATCTATTGCATTTAAGAGCAGGTAGCAGACTGGTGAATTAGGCTTCTGTTTTTCTCAATGCTTATCATTTATCTTGATGAATGAAGTAGTTAATATAGAAATTAAGTTTGTTTTTTATGAATGTTTTGAATTTTATACCAGACTCAGTAATCATACATTCATGTACTGATAATCCCAAAGAAACAAGACAAAAGCTCCCTTTAAATTAAACACGAGAACAGAAGGCTACAGTGTGGGGGCATGGATACCTTATTGTCCCTGTTCCCCTGATGGACAGTTGTTTTGTATTTGGTATTTATTGGTGGCATATATAAATAACTATTTTTAATAATGTAAGGGCAATGTTTGGATTTGAGCATGACCCTTAACAGTTATATTTTTGAGAGACATTTTGGGGCTGTTTTTTCATTAAAATTCATCTTTTTCTTTAAGGGTATACCTCAGTTACCATGTGCCAAAGCATTATACAACTACGAGGGAAAAGAACCTGGAGACCTTAAATTCAGCAAAGGTGACATCATCATTTTGCGACGACAAGTGGATGAAAATTGGTACCATGGGGAAGTCAATGGAATCCATGGCTTTTTCCCCACTAATTTTGTGCAGATTATTAAACCATTACCTCAGCCCCCACCTCAGTGCAAAGCACTTTATGACTTTGAAGTGAAAGACAAGGAAGCAGACAAAGATTGCCTTCCATTTGCAAAGGTAAAATTGAATTGAAATTTATCAGTTCTTTTCTACATGAAATATGGCTGGTGTTGCCTTTTATAAAAAGAGAATTTTGTTTGAACCATCTCACCTTGCTTCTAAAAATACCTGGAAGCAGTCTTCTTTAAGGAAAATAATTTTGTACGTAGACTTCTATGAAATCAATTTTGATTGATGCTCTCTACTTGGTAGTCTTTTCATATTTAGAGCCTACATTTATTTTTAAGCCACTTTACAGAGTATATGTAGCACCTAGGAATTTTAAAGTACTGAATTATGAATAACAAATGAAACATCATTACTTTTTATTTTATATGTAAATTTCTTTGCTTAAAAGCAGAAAGGAATATATTTACTGAATTGATAAAATAGTTTAGAATTTTAAGCAGAATATTGTTTTTGTAAAGAAAGCAATAGAACATGCATTTGAATAGCCGTTTGGCACTTAAAGAGAAAGGGAGAAGTATCTGATGAGGATCAATCTAAACAGAAATTCACGATGCTAGGGTGGGTGGCACTTGAGTTTTTCATTTATGGCTCTAAATAGCCAGCCACTTGTATAGAAGTTCATAGTTTTATAATTGTCTATAAGAAGAAAACAAAAACCAGGTTGACTGAGGTATCATTTAGTTCATGAAAACATTGAATTTGTGTGCTAAAATGTGTCTGAGCACTTTTATTCATCTGTTGTTGAAATTGAGTCCCATTATTGAGATAGGAAATTAAGTGACAAAATTAATGGGATGAAGGAGACTAATGATTTGCTATTTCTTCAGGATGATGTTCTGACTGTGATCCGCAGAGTGGATGAAAACTGGGCTGAAGGGATGCTGGCAGACAAAATAGGAATATTTCCAATTTCATATGTTGAGGTAAGTTAGTCTATAGAATCTTGAATTGTGTTAGTACTTAGTTTAGTAAATACATCTTAAGTGTGTACTTGGAGTATTAAGAGGTGTTCACGACACAAAGCAGGAGTATTCTCTTCAGGATCACTGGATGGATTAGGAAGAACTCCTTTGTTCTGCTCTTCAGCTGCTAATGACTATGAGGTGGGTGAAGCTCTTTGTCTCCTTGCTAAGTGCTTTCCTGTGTCTTGTGAAAGGTACCATAGTCCTGTTGTCCATCATCTGTCCTGTTTCCAGGTGTTCTATTCCATTTGCTGGCTTTGGGATCAGAAAGTTAATAAAGTTCCTGAGTCAAGTGGGAGGTTAATATATTTGTTTACTTATTTCTTCCATTATCTGCCACATCATCAGAACTGGAATAGTGATTCATAGGGTAATAAGTAGTTCACTTATTAAATAAATGAACAGATCTTTCTCATTCACATGCCAGTAACTTCTTAGCTAGCTACCTCTTCTCTGTTTAGTTATTTCATGTGAGTTAAAAAGCTTGTAGTCAAGCCTGGGTTAGTGAAGTCTTTTTAAAGAGTATGCATAAAGTAACACAGTTCTATTATTTAAAAGAAAAGCAGAAATTAAAAATGAGCTAAGAAGTTACAATTTATACTAAATCTTCATTATACCAATACCATAAATTGTCCTTTAGTAATAAACATTTTTTTTTTTTTGCTGAAAATAAAAAGTTTCAACGAATGAATCAGTTATAGCCCAAACAACCAAACAAGTTTATTGAGGTCACAAAAGGCTTCTGGAAAGATACCTGTGTGATACACAAATAGAGGTTAACCAAGTGAAATGCAAAAGGAGCATTTTAAGGCAAGCACAATACCCAGGCAGGGCGACCAACATGTGCAAAGGCCAAAAAGTAAGAGAGAGCATACAGGTTATTTGCGGAATTGAAAGTGATTCTGTGCTTTAAAATACCAAAGCTTATACCTTAAGCATGTAAAAAAGAAAAATTACTATCACTTGTATTTTGTCGTCTTTTTATCTGATTCTGAAGATTAAAATGACAAATTATAGCATTGTAGCCAGCACTCAGTTTCCTCCTTAGGCAGTGAGATTGCCAGAGTTTTCATAAAAAATCAGCTTGTCTGTGGGAAAGTAATTCAAAACATGTACAAGTCTTGAATTTAATCCATACCCTTTATTTCTGTTTTTTGACATATTTTTCCTTTTTTGAACATAAACAACAACAAAATCGTTAACATGCAATCTTTTTTGTACATTATTTGTATAGTCTTAAGTGTGGGTCATGGAAAACTACAGGCATTTCCAAGTATTTGAATAATTACGTTAAAGTTCGCAAACAATCACAAGATTAGTAATGAAAGCCTGTCTTTACTTGTTAGGTATTATCAGTATCACATGCTGACACTTGGTTTGCGATGTATGAAAAGGCGTAGCTATATTTTTGTTATTGGGCAGGTGTAGATCATGCGGATAGGCATTAAAAGATCTACTCACAGAAAGTCCTAAGTCACTTCCAATCACTTGAGTCATTAGGATTATTTACTCCTACTTAAATTGAAAAGGTAAACTTCTGCCAAGTGGAAAGTACTTTCATTCTTTTATCTGTTTTCTTTCAAATGAACCTTTTTCCTTTTTTAGAATCAGAATTTTGCTAGTTAAGATATGGTAAACAGATCATCTGTCGTAAAGGGCCTGTGAACTTTGCTTTGATGTCAGGCCATTGGATTGAAGCTCCTGGTAGGGAGCAGAGCATCTGGGGATTAGTAACACCTGGCTTAGCCCTTGGGGAATTGAAGTAGAGGCAGATTTCAATTACAGCCTCCCAAACCCCAGTTATTTTAATGGTGTAGAGAGTGTCTTGCAGGGTAGCTTCAGATATGGAAAAGCTAACTTGATAGCAAAAACAGGAACCTTTTCCTAAATAGTGGTCTTTCCTTCATTAGAGCCCAGACAGACTGCATATAAAAATAGATTGTATTATAAAAATTCACTAGTAAATAATTTTCCTATATTTTATAAGCAAACATTTAACTTTCCATCAATTTTAGGTGCTTGGGTGGGAGGCTTTGCTTGTTTTAACACTACTGCCCACATAGTTATCTACCAGAGGTTTTGAGGTCAAATAACAACGGTGGACCCTCAAGTTATGACTGGCCTGACATTTGAACAACCTGGATTATGACCAGAATTTTAGTTTTAATTTAAGAACAAAGTCTTGAGTTATGACACAAATGCCATCTGCTCGTGCTTCCAGATGGTCTCAGGTACAGATTTAACCCTTAAGAGTTTTGGACTGAACATTACAACATCCTTTCCTATGTGGGGTTAATTGAGAAATCCTGGACCAATGTCTTTCCAAGGGCACTGAGATGCCTGTGTACAGGACAGTGACTTTGAAGGCTGTGTAGAGGACTTGAGCCTTCAGCTGTTCGAGTTACAACCACCCCTTGAGAATGAATTGAGTTCATAAGTCAAGGATCCAGTGTACACTTAAGGAGTTTAACAACTCTATATCTTATGCAAAGTGGTTTGGAGCTCAGATTATACTATAACCCAGAGTGTGCCAGAGTATAATGATTATCAAAGAAAAGAACCACACCATCATGCATACTGAGGGAAACAGAGGTGGATTCTGAGTTACCAGAGCCGTATCTTACCTTACACAGGCCCTTAACAGAGACTGAAACTCCCTTTGGCTCCTACTGGTTGGCTTTGATAATGGAAATGCCCAAGAAACTTGCTTGAGGTAGAAGCTCGACGCAGGATGAGCCTGGTTGTAACATTATAGTCCTGGAGTGGGTTAGTGCTTCAGATATTGAATGGGGGAGGGGGCTAAAGGAAATTAAAAGGACTTAGCATTGGAAGTAGGTAATGAAAGGAGTGGGGAACGGAGAATGGAGATGGTGAGGCGTGCTCCTGGAGTGGTCTGCCCTTCCTCCCTGTCTTCAGTGATCTTTCTTTTCTCTTTCAATGTCCCATAACTGTGGTCTGTGATCTCCACCTGTATTGAAGTAAGGGGGTAAAATAGTAGACATAGTATCGTGATTTACAGACAGATTTCCTATTAAAGTGGAATGAAAGGTTCTTCAAGGGTTCAGTAGAGATGGAGAGTCTCTGTTTGGGATTAGCAAGTAGGAGAGAGGAAAGAATTGCTATATAAGTGGCCCTGAATTCTGTCACTTGGAGTGCACGTTTACCTCTTATGATGAGGGTTCTTTTGCTTTGATATCATTCCCTCTTCCTCTCTAGAGGTTCTCTCTTCAGACTTCTCTGTGGGCACGCCTTGGACATTGAGGATTTTATTCTGTTTAGACAGACTCTTCCTTGGTCTTGGAGGTTGTGGCGTTTATTCTATTTAGTTAGGCTCTTTGTTGACTTGAACAAGTTGGAAAGCAATAAGGGGTAAGAGTTTCATGGGGAAACCTGGGGAATTCTTGAAGACAATGCCAGGATGCATACAGAAAAGGGTGTGTTTGTCAAGAAATTTGTCGTCTGCTTCTCTGTATTCAAAAATAGCCAGTTTTCTACAAAATGGGAAGGAAGATTTTAACAAGCCCATTAATTTGGAACTGACTCACTCAATTCAGCAGTCATTCAGACAAGGATGACACAATTCTTAGCAGGCAAAAAGTGTGAATGAGGTAAGTGCTACATATAGGATTATGGACAGTTTTCAAATGTGGTATATTATCGGCTTATAGTGAACTACACATCTTTATTAAGTTTCTCATATTATTTTGATAGCTAGTCATTTGCTTGACATATCACTCACCCAAGTTTTTCAACAACAAAAAAAGTTATTTAGCAACTTGCTCTTTTGCCATAGATAATATAAAGATAAGCATTCCTTAGCATGACATGTAGTAGGGGCGCCTCATAGACAACTGTTCTTCCCCTTCAGTTACTGCCAGAAAGAAGGGCTGCTTTTCTCATTCTTTATATCTCACTCCAGATGTCATCCTTCTGACAGATTTTTCCTCACTATCTTGTCAAAATTAAGTCCTCCTCACCGTTTGTTTACTTCAAATGCACAGTGGTAAGGTAGTGGGGGAAAACGTGGACTCTGGAGCTAAATGGCTGGGATTCAAGTCATGGCACTACCGCCAATAATCTGAGTCACTTCGGCCCTAGTCTTCTTATTTTAGAAATAATCTATATAGGATGAATTAATTTCACTGACACTGAAGAATAGCGTCTGACACCCTGTAAGAGCTTTATAAGAGCTTGCTGTGATTAATATCACATTATTCCTTCTTAGTTTTTGTTACTCCTTCATTTGTTCTAACTCTTCTAAGTCATTTGTTGTGGTGACCATTTATCCCCCCTCTGCATTAGAAGGGAGCACCTGAGGGCCTTGTCTTGATGGCTTACCCTTGTCTCCCGGGTCCTCACACAGTGCTGCTCACTGGGCTCACAATAAGTGTTGCTCAACTGACTGAAAAGCACTCTAACAACTTGTAAAACAAAAGTTTCAAACTGGTTTATAGATTTTTACCCACTTTCAGCTAAATTTTCTAGCTAATATTCCTGTCATTTCCTACTAGCCATATATTTTGTTATGGGTGTATCTCGGTTTCATGTCGGGAAGTTACATTCCTCAAAGTCACTGGGTCTGTGTGACCTTGGTAAGATCTCTCTCTCTCTTTTTAAACTAGGCTATTTGGTTATGTCAACTTTAGAATTCTCCCTGACCAAAATAATAGTAACCATACCATGTGGAATGATTTTGCAACCTCTACTATTTATTTGTTATATAGAAATGACTCCCTGATGGGAGGGCAGAGTTGGAGAGATATTGGCCAAGGATATACCATTTTAATTAGATAGAAGGAGTAAGTTTCTCTGGCTGTGTATTATCAGAGTTAACAATGGAAAATCAAATGTGCAGGACTCAGTACAAATGGCCTTACCATTGTAGCTCTAGTTTCCTCCTCTGTGGAGTCAGGGAATTGGAAGATACTGTCTGTGTCCCACAGAAGTAGTAGAGGTTGAGATGTATACCTTGAATTGTCAAGCTGACCCTTGGAGGAGCTAAGAATAGCACTGTTAATTTAATTTTTTTTAATTTACAGCTTTTCCTCTAGAGAATAATGATAGCAGAAGAGCAAAATAATAGTCTTTGATATAGTAATAATCGAAAAGTTGATTGAACTATATAGAACGATATTCTGTTTTTGAATGTATTTTTCCTGTAAAATTAAAACGTGTAATCAGTGTTTATAAAAGAAGTTTAGAGAAATTGTTGGGAAGTTGGAAAGCGAATTAGTATATTGCCTAGCATCCAGATTTCTCCTTCAGTTATGAAGTGAGTTAATTTTTATGAGTGAAATTTAGAGATATTGTTGAAAAATCAGTAAGGGAGAATTACTCTGTTGCTTAGCACCATCCTATCTCCCTTAATTCTGACTGAGTACATTGGATCTGCTTTTGAGCAGCTTTTTTCTTTTTCTAAGGTACTGTGGGTCATGTCCCCTGGTCCACATTTTCATATCTTCTGAATGTTATCTTAATATAAGTAATTGTAGTTTGTCCCTCTGCAGCAATGGTAGGAGAAATGAGGACTGGCTCCTGAAGTTCTAACACCTAAGACAGGTCTGTAAATTCCAGGAACAGCTACTTAATATATAGGGCCAGAGACTCCATCTGCAAAGGAGTTGCTTAGATTAGGCAAGGAACTTTATGTAGGGCAGTTTATGCTCCATCTGTTATTCAGTGGCCTCTTTCTAATTTAAGAGTTTCGTCTTGTTTTCCATCAGGAGAACATTCAAGGAACTGAGATTCTAAAGATCAGTTAATGTTTATTGAGTTCTCACTGCATGAATGGACAGTTTCCAGTATGCTGAGCAATTTCATAGGACCTAAGAATGCAGATCTCCTGCCTAGTCTTAATCAGAGGCCTAGGATAATGACCAAATGGTGTCTTAACTTCCACAGTGATTCCCCAAAGAATCCCCAGAGTCTTTAGCCTGGCTGTATTCTCCTATAGGGGCCCTAGTTAAGGTTTTACTGATCATTCTTGGAAAATGTATCAGAATTGCTGCTTTTACAGCTCATTTGGGATATTTCTTTGTCTATGTACTTATAGAATACTTATTGTTTCTTCTAGGTCCGAATAGATATAATTTCTCTTAGAGCTTTTCTTTCCCAATTCTTCTGTGCAACAAAATTAATTCTGTGAATCCAAACAAAAAGAACCTTTTCCTTGCTTGAGGCTTCAACAATACTTAGTATTCACCGTTCTATAAGAACATGCTAAGAGTATAGTTATATAGTCATATAGTTATGTGTAGATGGTTTATTGTTTTCTTGTGTCCCTTGAGAATATGTCTCATAAGGAATATTTTTAAGCTTTTACTTCTATAATATAATTGTATTACAAAGAAAAACCTTGAAAAGGACATGAATATTTCTGAGTCTCATCCTGTATTCTTTGGTAAGTATCGTTCCATTCTTTTTGCTTGTACCTTAATGGTATGGCATGCATACTTTTGCCTTTCTCCACATAAGTGTAGTAGTTTTATCCATGAGTTTTCATGGCTACATAATAAACACTCCAGTAGCTAAACCATATTGTAGTTAAGTATTTTTACCATTTTTTTTAGACAAGTGTCTTATTTAGGAGAACAGAGACCCTTATTGAGAAGTGGATGATGGTTGCTGTCCTGCCCTAGGTTTCTGCCCTGCTGTGCACTTGCCCCAGGTGACGTGCAGTAACTGGTGTTCCTAATAGTGACACAAAATTTATTATTATTCTTCAGCTTTGCTTAACAATTGTATAAAACGTCTTTTTTAATTTAAAAAATTATGAAACCACTTCAAGTTCTAACATGAAAAGTTAGTTTTCAGACATGATTCATTATTCAATTTCAAATGTCTGAGGTTGCCTTTTAAAGAGAAGAATCACAAATTGGAGCCATAATATTTTAATGTCTTTATTATTTTAAAATTTTCATCATATTGCTAATATCCATGTTAAATATTGCTGCTAACTAAGGCTTTACTGAGCAGAGTAGATTCATTTTAATTAATTAAGTATTAAGTCATATTTCATATCGTATGAAGGATTCTAGTTATTTGTGTGCGTATGTAAAATATAAGTGGCTTGAACAGAAGTGTTTTGACTATAAAATCAGTGGGAGATAGTATTTCAGAGAAGTTATTTCTTAAGTGTTGTAAAACATTAGTTTCTAATAATCAATAAAGTTTAACAGCAGTGTGGCTGGTAGGTTTTACATACATGCCAGGCAAAACTTTCTCCATATGCTGAGAAAACTTAAACAAACTCTCAAAGTCATGAAGGCCAGTACCCTCAGTAGTCTCTGTTTTCTTGCTAAGCTTCTTTCTTGATCAGCCTTCCTGCCTCTCCCCTATATATACCCCCCCCACACACACCCCTGCACACTTTGGGTATCAAGGACAGGGGAAAATCTTTTTCACTGATTTATTAACTGATTACAAATTATTATGGAATTTCTGTCAGTGTGTAATTTCACATTGACAAGGTTTCACTTAGAATTTAATGAGAATTCCGTATTCTGTATCTCCTGGGATATTTGTGTATTTCCTCTGTAGTATTCCTACATCTGGTAATGAGATTCTGGAAAATAAAATGTATCATTGGAATGTATACTTTCAGTTAATAGGCATTTCTGATTTATGGTGTGCATTTGAAGAGCAAATACAAACTAGAAGGAAACATACAGAACCTCATGCACTTTCAGATCCCATCAAACAGAGACATGAACTGAGCCAAATTTAAAATTCTTCCATTGGTCTCTCTCCCTAGAACCATAATTAGTTTGTAGATCTCTTGCTTCACAAGTAACAGGTCCAAGTGCCTCCTGAGCCTTAATTTTTAAGAGGAAGCTTCCTTCTGTCTTTTAAATTGTTCTGCACATTCACTGGTTGTGGTCACAAAGTATTTCTCCTCCTCTGCAGTTGCTCTCTTCTCCTTTAGGTCTTTCGTCCTCCAGGAACTTGGTCACATAATTTATATATTTTTTGTTTTGCATGTCAGTTATTCTTTTTGTCTTGGCTACCCCTTAATATAGGAAAACGATCTGCCTTTTGCTGTCCTCAAGTCATTCCGTGACGATACTCTCCTCATGGTACTCCTTTTGCTGGCATAATTCTCAAAAAGCGGCATTTATTACTGCTTCTCACTGCCTCTGCTTGGTCATTCCTTGTAGTTAGCCTTTAGGCCCTCCAGGGTGTGAAATTACCCTCCTGGATGCCAGTAACGGCCTTTTCTTTGCTCCTCTTTTGTCCTCCCAGTAGCATTGACTCCTGTTCTTAATCTCCCTGAGTTTTCACCTTTTCCATTTCTGGGGCATTGGTTGGGTGGTTGGCCTAGTAAACTCAGCAGAGTCTTTCATAACCTGAGATGTTGAGTGCCTTTTTTTCTCCTTGCCCCTGCTGTTTTCTTCTCTGTTTCTCCCCTCTCTAAATCAGAGACCACCAACAAACCTGGCCTCTAGAGTTTTTATGCTTACTTGCAAAGTAGTTTTTTGGTTTTTTTTTTTTTTTTTT